CCCGACAAATCGCAAAATCGGATAATAAATGGACTTCCTGAATCCAAGGCCAAGACTTTCACAGATTGGGAGTTGGCAGACCATAAGCTGTTCAAAGATCTCCTTAACAGGCTCCTGCGGCCCACCGATGTGGTCGATGTGCGAAAGAACTTTAGACCTGGAAGGAGCCCAAATTACATATCGGAAAGTTTACGTCCCCGACCACTAAAATTGGTGCTAGAAAATCAAGAACAAGTCAAACTCATTCTTGAACGACGTTTCAGAATCAAGGATAACAATTGCGGATTTTTTTCAACTGGAATATACACCAACGGAGAGTAAAAAACGCCGACATTTAGTTCTCGAAATGAGACTGAGATTACAGGCTGGGGAGTCGAATTTGATGATCTACAACGACCAGATAATACAGCGTCCTCAACGTATTCGTTGGAAAGAAACAATTCGAATGACTTACTTACTTACTTGTACATGGTACGGCTGTGATCATGCCTGATCTAGCCGGCCTCAATGATGTCATGAACGGTACCTCTCCATGCCTGGCGATTGGCGGCAGCGGATCTGGAAAGCTTCACTCAGTCCCTTCTCCAGCGACGGAGACCGAAGAAAGAGGGTCTAAGAGCTGCTTCCATGTCTTGACGGACGGTGTCGAGCCAAGTCTTCAGTTGCCCTCCTTTTCGACTGAAGGTGCAACTGATTCCTTACACGGAGTTTCAAAGTGAATCGTAACCAAAACCACTGAAAAATATGTCACTTTAGTTGATCTACAGAACGTACAGAGTCTACTGTCCAAATAAGATGAACTGAAAGTGCAGATATCCGATATTTTTCCCTACATTATCCCTTTAACAGAAACCCAGCTGTCTGAAAACGTAGATGACCACAAAGTAGCACTACCCGGATTTAATTTGTTTCGAAGAGATAAGAGAGGCCGTTAAGGAGGAGGAGTTATAGCTTACGTGAATCATGGACCATTAGTCTCAGAAAACAAAGGAACGGTTTCCTTGCCGGTACCGGAATCACTCAGTCTGGAAGTGTTGACCGTTTACCGACCACCTAGAAGTGATCCCGAGGCTGACGCTGGTCTGTTAGAGGAGTAAGCAAGGTTAACTACTCAGCCTGACGTCTTGATTATGGGTAACTTCAATGCTCCGCTTATCGATCAGAGTTTAACACACACACACGTGGTCTAGAGCAAGCACTCGACCGGCGTTTACTAGCCCTGACACTCTGTTCCGCCCTCATTCAACACGTTCTATTTCCCACCAGGGTGCGTGAGGGGCAGCAGTCAAACTGC